AAAAATATATATATATTTAATATATATATAATATATATTATATATATATAATATATAAATAAATATATATATATATAATATAATATATATATATATATAATAGTATTTATAAATAATATATAAATATAATATATATATATATATATATACATATATATACTATATATATAAATATATATATTATAACTATATATACATACAGTATATATATATATATATAAATAATATATATAAATAGTAAATATATAATAAATCTATAAATATATATCTATAATATATATAAATATAAATATATAAATATAGTATACATACAAATATATATATATATAAATATATAATCAAAACATATAATATATATATAAATATATATATATATATTATATATATATATATATATATATAAATATAAAAAATAAATATATATATATATATAAAAATAATACATACATATAAATATATAAATATATAAACAAACATGATATATATATATATATATATATATATATATATAAATATATAATATATCCTAATGTATACATATATATATATATAAAAATATAATATAAATATAAATATTATATTATAATAATATATATTATATATATATATATATGTATTTATATATATATATATATAATTCTGAAGAGAAGTTCAGAGGTTGGTGGATGTATTTAGTAGGGTGTGTAAAAAGAAGAAAATTGAAAGTGAATACAGAAAAGAGTAAGTTATAGAGGATAACAACGATTAGGTGATGAAAGATGGATATCAGATTGAGGGAAAGATATTGAGGAGGTGAAATGTATTCAATATTTGAGTGGACGTGTCAGTGAATAGGTCCTATGAAAGATGAGGGGAATCAATAGAATTGATGAGGGAAAAAGAGTAGTGTGCACCTAGGAGTCTGTGGAGACAAAGAACTTTTTCCTTGGAGGCAAGAGGGGAAATGTAGGAGAAGTAAGGTTTTACGAACGCTCTTATATGGGGTGAAGCATGGTGATGATGTTTGCAAGCGAGGAGAAGGCTGGAGGCAGTGGAGATGTTATGTCTGAGGAATGTGTGGGTGTGAATATAATGCAGAGAATTCGTAGTTTGGAAGTTTAGGAGGAGGGCAGGGTTGCCAAAACTGTTGTCCAGAGGGCTGTGGAAGGGTTTGTTGAGGTGGTTCGGTCATGTAAGAGAATGGAGCGAACAGAAGAACTTCAAGAGTGTACAGTCCTGTAGTGGAAGGAAGGCGGGTTAGGGTCGGCCTAGGAATGGTTGGAGGGAGGGGGTAAAGAGGTTTTGTGTGCGAGGGGGCTTGGACTTCCCAGCGCATGCGTGAGCGTGTTTGATAGGAGTGAATTTGGAGGAACAAAAGGTTTTTAATACTGACGTGGCTGTTGGATGTGGAGTCAAAGTAAACATTTAAGGGTTCAGGAAAACCGGCAGGCCGGACTTGAGTCCTGGAGATGGGAAGTACAGTGCCTACACTCTGAAGGAGGGGTGTTAATGTTGCAGTTTAAAAACTGTAGTGTAAGGCACCCTTCTGGCAAGACAGTGATGGAGTGAATGATGGTGAAAGTTTTTCTTTTTCGGGCCACCCTGCCTTGTTGGGAATCGTGGTGTATTAATAAAAAAAAATGTACATACATATATAAGACATGGGAGAGCCTTCTCCCTCTAAGGCACGTTAGCCAAAAAAAAGAAACACTTTCACCATTATTCACACCATCACTGTTTTTCCAGAGACGCCCAGATACAACAATTCAGATGTAATTCTATGCAGGAAATACCCCAACCCCCTCCTTTAGAGTGCAGGCACTGTACTTTCCACCTCGAAGGTTTGAGTCCGGTTAACTCGTTTCCTTGAATCTCTTCACCTTTGTCACACTCCAACTGCTCGTCAAGTCCCAGAAAACATTTTTCTCCACTCATATCTGACATGCTCACACATGTCTCTTATAGATATTCCAACCAATTGCACACAAATCCTCGTTTACCCCCTCTATCTTTTCCAAGGACGACCCCCTACCCTGCCTTCCCTCCACAAGAGAATTATATGTAATCAAAATCATCTTATATTGCTCCATCCTCTTTAAATAGCCAAAACTTATCTCCCAACTCCTGCCCCAAGCATCTTAATAGGAGATTTCAACTTGAGACACCTAAAATGGAGGAGTATAGCAAATAATGTTTTAGCATAGATCACCCCAGGAGGCAGCTCAGATGAAAATTCACACACACACACACACACACACACACACACACACACACACACACACACACACACACACACACACACACACACACACACACACACACACACGAACTATTAAATCCCTGTGTTTGTTCTTCAGGCCTTATCGTTCCTGGGTTGTAATACCAGCAAATATTAGAGCCTACAAGATTAGAAAATACGCTGGAGTTCATCTTTGCCAACAATGAAGATCTGATACGTAATATAACCGTATCAAGGACAATACACTCAGATCACAACATAATAAAGGTACAGACATGTATGCACAGGGCTCCTGACCAGCAAAATGTGATCAGTCATGAAGATCTCTTCACAAAATTCAATTTTAATAACAAAAACATACAATGGGATCGAGTCATCCATGTCCTAAATGAAACAAGCTGGGAAGATATCCTAAACAACTCGGATCCGAACATTTGCCTAAAAAAATGAACTCTGTGGTTCTTGAGATCTGCTCAAGACACATTCCATTAAGAAAATGTAAAGTAGAAAGAGAGAAACGCTCCCTATACAGTCGAAGGCAAAGAGTCACAGAGCTGCTGAGAGGGGCCAATATATCTGAAATACGAAGGGAGATACTGTTCAATGAAATTGCAAATATCGTACTTAAGCTGAAGGAATGTTACAGGAGACAAGAATCACAGGAAGAACTAAAAGCCATAAAGGAAATTGAAAATAAAAAAATACTTCTCTTATGCCAAATCTAAGGGAAAAACAGTATCCAGTACTGGGCCCCTGCTTAGGCGAGATGGGACATACACAGATGACAGCCAAGAAATGAGTGAGAAAATAAAGTCCCAATACGACTCAGTGTTCAGTGAGCCGCTACCCAGACTAAGGGTCGACAATCCAAATGAATTCTTTATGAACGAAACCCAAAATTTGGTCATCTCAAAAGTCTCGGATATTATCCTAAAGAATCGCAACAAGCCCCTGTCGCATGCCTACAGCATTCTGTGGAGAGGGATCATGGACACAGGGGTCATCCCAAATACACTAAAAACAACAGACATAGCCCTAAACTGATAGCACTAACATCCCATATCATAAAAATCTTTGAGAGGGTTTTAAGAAGCAAGATCGCCAACCACCTAGATACCCATCAGTTGATAAATTAGACACATCTACAATACCCATCAGTTACACAACCTAGGGCAATACGGGTTTAGAGTAGGTCGCTCCTTCCTGTCCCAGCTACTGGACCACTATTACGAGGTCCTGGACGATGTTGAGGATAAACAAAATACAGATGTAGTGTACACAGACTTTGCAAAAGCTTTCGACAAGTGTGACTATGGTGTAATAGCACACAAAATGCGTGATAAAGGAATAACAGGAAAAGTTGGTAGATGGATCTATAACTTCCAGACAAATAGAACACAGAGTAATAGTAAACAGAGTAAAGTCCCAGGCAGCCACAATGAAAATCAGTGTTCCACAAGGCACAGTACTCTCCCATTCTATTCCTCATCCTCATTTCTAACAGACACCCAGATTGACATGACAGTGACCTCCGTCGAAGACACTGCAAGACTCCAAACAGACATTAGCCATATCTTCAAATGAGCCACTCAAAATAATATGAAGAGAAATTTCAACTACTCTGATATGGAAACTTGAAAAAATAAAAAAAATGTGTCAAGGTATACGACAAATTCTAACCATACAATGGAGAGAAAAAGAAATGTGAAGGATCTGGGAGTGATAATGTCAGGATCTCGCCTTCAAAGGAAAATGATAGGATGGATAATGAGAACCTTCAAAACCAGGGACGCCAAACCCATGATGACACTCTTCAAATCGCTTGTTCTCTCTAGGCTGGAGTACTGCTGTACACTAACGGTCCCCTTCAAGGCTGGCGATACTGCAGTCCTGGAGAGTGTACAAAGAACTTTCACGGCACACATAAGTACGATAAGGCACCTAAATTACTGGAAACAGTTGAAGGTCCTTGATCTGTATTCCCTGAAAATCAGGCGAGAGAGATACATGAAAATATACACTTGGAAGGTCCTGGAGGGATTGGTACCATTGGTACCAAACCTGCACACGAAAATCACTCCCTATGAACGCGAAAGGCTCGGCTAGAGGTGCAACATTCTCCCGATGAAAAGCAGGGGCGCCACGAGTACAATGAGACAACACATCAGGGGCCCAAAACTGTTCAACTGCTTTCCAGCATACACAAGAGGGATTACCAATAGACCCCTGACTGTCTTCAAGAAGGCACTGGACAGGCACCTAAAGTCAGTACCTGACCAATCGGGCTGTGGCTCGTACGTCAGTTTGCGTGTGGCCAGCAGTAACAGACTGATTGATCATACCCTGGTCCACCATGAGGCCTGGTCTCAGACCGGGCCGCGGGGGCATTAACCCCCGAAACCCTCTCCAGGTAAACACTCCCTCATCAGCCCTCTGAATAATTCTTTAACTAATTCTGCACCTCCTCATAATTTCCAAACTACGAATTCTCTGCATAATATTTACGACACACATTGCCCTCAAATACGACATCTCAACTACCTGCAGCCTCCTTTTTCCATGCAACATTTACAATCCCTGCCTCATACCTATATAGTAGTGTTGGTACCATTATCCTCTTTTGCATTCCTCTCTTTGCCTCCATGGATAACATTTTTTGTCGCTACAGATACCTTACATTATACAAATGGGGCTTCAGTGCCAGCTAATTACAAATTATTCATTACTTTAATTAATGTAGATGTTATCAAAGATTTAATAGTAGTATTACATTTGTTTACAGAAGACAGAGCAAGTGTGGCCCAGCAGCGAACATTGACTGAGAAGACGTTCCAAGGTCTCGACCAGGATGATCCAGCACTGGTCACTTACATCACACATCTTATTAATTCACCCACAAACAAACCTTATAATCTCACCGAGCCTCAAAAAATACATTACTCCCAGTTCGGTCAATCTTCTTACGCCGATACAGACATTTTAAATGGCATGGTACGAACCTTTGATAAAATACTGAATTGGACTTGAATAAAAAAATAACTACATAGTCTGCTAATCTCAGTTTATAACTTTTCAATTTCTATTATTATTTATTAATTTCATTATAAACTAATATGCGTTTAGAATCACCTACTAAATTTTCATAAGTGACAACAGAGGTCAGGTTCTTTATTAATAGGAATATTTAATATTGTTAAATTAGCACTTACGAAAGAATGTGTTCAGAAATCCATGGGCGTTTGCCCATGTCCGGTAGTTAGTCGATTGATTTAACAGACTACGTCCACTTAATTGAAACGTTCAGTTTAAAAGATTTTTTGGCAATTCGGACACTCCCTGCCCCTACTAGTCCATTTCGACGGACTTTCTACTGTATAAAAGCTCGTGCTTTATCAGTATGAGCAATGACAGGCAGGGGAGCTCAGAGTTCATCTATAAACAATAGAAGATTGATGCTGATTGATCTGTGCACGGAGTGAACACCCTCACTTGTGTTACTAGTGCACAAGTGCAAGACATGTTAGTGCTACAAGTTTGGAGCAAACGTGATCTGCGCGAGTGCTGCAGCATTTGGAAACTACCACCAGAAAGTCTGGTTAACTGAATCACGTTGAGAATGGCACCACAAGCCCTCCTGTGGTCACTTGTCAAACTGTGACCACACGCAAGAAACAATGGCAGCATTGGTAGATAACAATATGGATACCTGAAGAATTGAATCAGGTTACACTCTAGCCGAGAACAGAAATACCAAGAAAAGTGACTTGCTACGAAGAGATGAAGGATCACAATGTGCAAGAACAATTTTTTCCAGAGGCACCAAAACAGTCAAGAAATGTGAGTGATTCCAGTCAGGAGCAGCAAAGCATCCAGGTGCTGATTCTTGGTTTTAAAACCAGTCAGCAGGGTTATGTGCTGTTTAATAACTAAGCTCTCAGAAGCATAAACATAACAGGGATAATATAGAGAAACCTTCCTTATCTGTTAATGAAAACAGAACTAACATCATTGTCTTTGGACTTGACTTATACCAAGATCCAATATTACTAGAACACGATGAATGGATCATTAATCACAAGAGACTAAAGAGAAAGAAAGCAGTTATAACCTATTGAATTTGAATCTACTACCCTTTATTAACTTTGAACATACCTAGGACTTATCACACTCTCAGAGTGGGAATCCATAACTCACTTCTACGTAAATGCTGTGTCAGCAATATGGTCAGGTATTGAGTGCATGTAACCCCCAGAAGCAGTGTGGTTGCTACACAAGCCCACACCAGACGAAAGCTTAATAAGACAAGCTATTATGTGGAGGAGAATAATGCTAATTCCAGCCAAGAGTCAGTGTGTGTGGTGTGGCACTCTGGGTTCGAGGTGTGTCGCCTTGAAAATGACAGCAGCTGCAGTGGCAACAACAAAAGTGGCAGCAGCAGCAACAGTAACAACAGCAACCATTGGTAGCAGCTCCCACCCCCGGGTAGGCTTCTGATCAGTTTTGCCCATCTACGCAAAAGGGTGTAATCATTTCCTGTTCTTGTTGCTGATGTTGCTGTTGTGACTCACAAAAAATCGTGACACGATTGCGAACAAATCAAGGTACGGGCGGGGATTGAACTCGCGGCTGGTGAGTCTTAATACTCCAAACCAGTGCGTTAGCCACTGGGCCAGCTGGCTACAATAAAATTAATCCAACCAGGTAGTAGGTTGGTAGACAGCAACCACCCACGAGAGCCTGTAATTGTTTTACATGATGGTAGGATTGCTGGTGTCTTTTGTCTGTCTCTTAAATATGCAAGATTACAGATACGTCTTGCTCTTCTACTTACACTTAGGTCACACTACACATACATGTACACGTTTTTTAATACACACTCATCTGAGTTTTCGTTTATTCCTTTTATATCTATGGGGAAGTGGAATAATCTTTCCTCCGTAAGCCATGCGTGTTGTAAAAGTCAAGTAAAATGCCCGGAACAATGGGCTAGTAACCCCTTTTTCTGTAATAATTACTTAGAAGAATAAGAAGAAAACTGTCAAAGTGAGATATCTGAATGTGCGTGGATGTTGTGCAAATGATAAGAAAGAGATGATTGTGGATGTTATGAATGAGAAGCTGGATGTCCTGGCATTAAATGAAACAAAGCTGAAAGAGGTGGGAGAGTTTCAGTGGAGAGAAGTAAATGGGATTAGGTCAGGGGTTTCAAATAGAGTTAGAGCTAAAAAAAGAGTAGCAGGAAAAGAGTATAAATGTATTAATTCAAGGTTATGTGGAGCAAAATAAAGGTAGGATGTGAAAAGTGGGTTATAGTATGCGTATATGCACCTGGAGAAGAGAGAAGTGTAGAGGAGAGAGAGGTTTCGGGAAATGTTGAGCGAGTGTGTGGGGAGTTTTGAACCAAGTGAGAGTGTACCTGTGGTTGGGGATTTCAATGCTAAAGTGGGTAAAAATGTTGTGGAGGGAGTAGTAGGTAAATTTGGGGTGCCAGGGGTAAACGAAAATGGGGAGCCTTTAATTGAGCTATGTGTAGAAAGAGGTTTTGTAATAAGTAATACATATTTTATGAAAAAGATGATAAATATACAAGGTATGATATAGCTCGTAATGAAAGTACTTTGTTAGATTATGTATTGGTGGAACAAAGGATGATGGGTAGGATTCAGGATGTACATATTTATAGAGGGGAAACCGATATCAGATCATTATTTAGCTGTGGCTACAGTTAGTGTAAGAGGTAGATGGGAGAAAAGGAAAATGGCAACAAGTAAAAGAGAGGTGAAAGTGTATAAACTAAGGGAGGAAGAAGTTCGGGTGAGATATAAGCAACTATTGGCAGAAAGATGGGCTGGTGCAAGTATGGGGAGTGGGGAGGGGGATTGAAAAAGGTTGGAATGGTTTTTAAAGTGCAGTATTAGAATGTGTAGCAGAAGTTTGTGGCTTTAGGAGGGTGGGTGCAGGAGGAAAGAGGAGTGACTGGTGGAATGATGAAGTGAAGGGTGTGATAAAAGAGAAAAAGGTAGCTTACGAGAGGTTTTTACAAAGCAGAAGTGTTATAAGAAGAGCAGAGTATATGGAGAGTAAAAGAAAGGTGAAGAGATGGTGAGAGTGCAAAAGGAAAGCAGATGATAGAGTGGGAAAGGCAATGTCAAGAAATTTTGAAGAAAATAAGAAAAAATTTTGGAGCGAGATAAACAAGTTAAGAAAGCCTAGGGAACGAATGGATTTGTCAGTTAAAAACACAGTAGGGGAGTTAGTAGATGGGGAGATGGAGGTATTGGGTAGATGGTGGGAATATTTTGAGGAACTTTTAAATGTTGACGAAGGAAGGGAGGTGGTAATTTCATGCACTGGCCAGGGAGGTGTAACATCTTTTAGGAGTGAAGAAGAGCAGGATGTGAGTGTGGGGGAGGTGTGTGAGGCATTATGTAGAATGAAAGGGGGTAAAGCAGCTGGAACTGATGGGATCATGACAGAAATGTTAAAAGCAGAGGGGGGGGGATATAGTGTTGGAGTGGTTGGTATTTTTGTTTAATAAATGTATGAAAAAAAGGGAAGGTACCTAGGGACTGGCGGAGAACATGTAAAATTCCTTTATATATAGGGAAGAGGGACGAAAGAGATTGTAAAAATTATAGAGGAATAAGTTTACTGAGTATGCCAGGAAAAGTATACGGTAGGGTTATAATTGAAAGAATTAGAGGTAAGACAGAATGTAGAATTGTGGATGAGTTATAGGGGATGTGGAGATTAAGTGTTTACATTGAAGCATATATGTGAACAGTATTTAGATAAAGTTAGGGAAGCTTTTATTGCATTTATGGATTTAGAAAAGGCATATGATAGAGTGGATAGAGGAGCAATGTGGCAGATGTTGCAAGTATATGGAATAGGTGGTAAGTTACTAAATGCTGTAAAGAGTTTTTATGAGGATAGTGAGGCTCAGGTTAGGGTGTGTAGAAGAGAGGGAGAATACTTCCCGGTAAAAGTAGGTCTTAGACAGGGATGTGTAATGTCACCATGGCTGTTTAATATATTTATAGATGGGGTTGTAAAAGAAGTAAATGCTAGGGTGTTGGGGAGAGGGGTGGGATTAAATTATGGGGAATCAAATACAAAATGGGAGTTGACAGTTAATTTTTGCTGATGATATTGTGCTTATGGGAGATTCTCAAGAAAAGTTGCAAAGGTTAGTGGACGAGTTTGGGAGTGTGTGTAAAGGCAGAAAGTTGAAAGCGAACATAGATAAGAGTAATGTGATGAGGGTATCAAATGATTTAGATAAAGATAAATTGGATGTCACATTGGAGAGAAGGAGTATTGATGAAATGAATGTTTTTAGATATTTGAGAGTTGATGTGTCAGCAGATGGATTTATGAAGGATGAGGTTAACCATAGAACTGATGAGGGGAAAGGTGAGTGGTGCATTGAGGTATATGTGGAGACAAAAAACGTTATCAGTGGAGGCAAAGAAGGGAATATATGAAAGTACAGTGGTACCAACACTCTTATATGGGTGTGAAGCTTGGGTTGTAAATGCTGCAGTAAGGAGGCCGCGGGAGGCAGTGGAGATGTCCTGTCTAAGGGCAATGTGTGGTGTAAATATTATGCAGAAAATTCGGAGTGTGGAAATTAGGAAGTGTGGAGTTAATAAAAGTATTAGTCATAGGGCTGAAGAGGGGTTGTTGAGGTGGTTTGGTAATTTAGAGAGAATGGATCAAAGTAGAATGACATGGAGAGCATATAAATCCGTAGGGGAAGGGAGGCGGGGTAGGGGTCGTCCTCGAAAATGATGGAGGGAGGGGGTAAAGGAGGTTTTGTGGGCAAGGGGCTTGGACTTACAGCAAGCGTGCATGAGCGTGTTAGATAGGAGTGAATGGAGACGAATGGTTTTTGGGACCTGACGAGCTGTTGGAGTGTGAGCAGGGTAATATTTAGTGAAGGGATTCAATGAAACCGGTTATTTTTATGCAGCCGGACTTGAATTCTG